GTTCTTAACCTGTTCAGATCCACTAACAGGGTCATCTAAGACTGGAAAGCACAGATATTTACATTACTATTCATAACAGTATCAAAATTACAGTTATGAAGTATCAACAGAAATAATTTTATGGTTGGGGGTCACCACAACATGAGGAACTGCATTAAAGGGTTGAGGCATTAAAAAGGTTGAGAACCACTGCTCTAGAGGAAGATCCACATCCTTGTTTTTTCTAGCTTTTGGATGCCACCTGTATTCTTAGGCTCAGGACTCCATCTTTAAATCACTCTAACCATCTGTTTCCATGGTTATATCTCCTACTTCCTCTCCTGTGATCAAATCTCCCACTGCCTCCCTCTTTTCTAAGAGTATCTGTGATTAAATTTGGGATCCACTTGGATACTCTCCTCTTCTCAAGATGGTTAACTTAATCACATCTACAAAATCCCTTTTGCTACAGAAGGTAATATTAAGAAAGTTCCAGGGATTAAGAAGTGGGCATCTGGGAGATGAGCAGCATTATTCAACCTACCACATGCATACTCCAAGAAGATATGGAAACCAATGCAAACAAATAGCAATACTTTCAGTTAAAGACAGACATCCTAAATAATAAAGAGACAATATGCAAATTAACCCTCACACCTTAACACTGCCACAAGATGGTGGTGCACACAGCAAGAGTGGGGCCAGTTGCTCCACCCATCATGCAGTTTCTGCAGCCCCACTAGGGAGTGGGAGGTCTGGCAGCCACTCCATGCACTTGCCACCTGAGTTCCATCAGCCCCACTGGAGGGGTGGGTCTTGGTTGCTGCTCTGTGTGGCTTCCACAGGGCAACAAGGATGACAGAGGAGGGCAGTTGGGGGCAATCGGGCTGGCTGAAGAGCAGTTAGGCATCAATCAAGCCAGCAAGGGATTGGTTAGGGGGTTATCAGGCAGGCAGGCAGGTGAGCAGTTAGAAGCCAGCAGTCCCAGATTGTGAGAGGGATGTCCCACCTATGATTTAGGCCTGATCCTAGGCCTAAACCATTGGTCAGACATCCCCCAAAGGGTCCCAGATTGGAGAGGATGCAGGCTGGGCTAAGGGACACCATCCCCCCAAACACACAAATTTTGTGCACCAGGTCTCTAGTATTTTGTAAGAGAAAAAACAAATTATACAAAAATGGATAAACCATTTTTGGCTCCTAGGATATGATTTGGTGGCTGCTTCTTCTTCTTCTTCTTCTTCTTCTTCTTCTTCTTCTTCTTCTTCTTATTCTTCTTTGAAGGTAATTATTGTTTGTTTTACATATCTTCTCACATCCTTACCCAGGGAGTGAGAAGATATATTTTCCATTGATTTTAGAGAGAATGGAAGAGAGGAGGAAAATGGGAGAGAGAGAGAGAGAGAGAGAGAGAGAGAGAGAGAGAGAGAGAGAGAGAGAGAAAGAGAGAGAGAGAGAGAGAGAAACATCAATGTGAGAGAGATACATTGATTGGTTGCCTCCACATGGGACCATACTAGGGCAAAAATGGGATCTGCAACCCAGGTATATGCTCTTGACCTAGAATTGAACCCACAACTATCTGGTGTGTAGGCCAATACTGTAACCACAGATAAAGGCTGACTCAGCTTCTTGATAGGTAATCCTATCTAATAAATAGGGAATATGCTAATTGACCCTCATGCCATCGCAAAAGATGGCAGCACCCACAGCCAATAGGATGGAATATGCTAATTGACTGCCCCACCTTCAAAGATAACAGTGCCTACAGCCAATAAGGTGGGAATATACTAATTTACTGTCATGTCCTCAAAGATGAAGGTGACCACAGCCACAAGATGGTGGCACCCAGTCCCCTCAGCTCTGCCAGGGCGACAGGCGCATAGCAAAGCTGAGCCTGCCACCAGGCAGGCGTCCCTACCTCCAGAGTTTCCCAGTCCCCTCAGCCACCCAGGGCCAACCCAAATCACTGGCAAGCCATCTAGGGTCACCCAAGGCTCAGGTAACCAGGGCTGGCAGCAGCAAAGGTGTGATGGGGGCATCGCCTTCCCCTGATCACCAGGTCGCCTCCTGCACCTGAGGGCTCCTGGATTGTGAGAGGAGGCAGGCCAGGATTAGGGACCCCTTCACCCCTTCAGTGCATGAATTTTCATGCACTGGGCCTCTAGTTATAATAATAACGATAGCAAACATTGACATTCTTTATTATGTGTTAGACACTGTTTACTTATAAATCAATTAATCTCCACACAAAAAAAATTATCCAGATTTTATTTAAAAAAAAAAAAGGAAACTAAGCTACAAAGTTAATAGATTTTCCCAATTAGCAAAGCTAGAATTTGAGCCCATATTCTTGACCATTTGAAATGAAATTTAATGAATGGACAGCAGTGGGAGAGTGGGCAAAAAGGTGAAGGGGATTAAGAAATACAAATTTCCAGTTATAAAATAAATAACTCACAGGAATGTGTGTAGCAAGCATGGGAGATCAAGGTTGAAGTCAGGACTTTGAAATCATGGGCTGGGTAACCTCCATAGTTGATGGGAGCTCTTTGAGATACTGAACTAGAGGAAGGGGCTATCAGAGTTGAACCTGGTGACAGTGACCATGTGAAGGCTGGGCTGGAGGAATGAGAAGGGAGCTGGCCCCTCTCTTCTATGTCATGGCATTTTGTATATCATAGAATGTGCATGTGTGTCTCTCCCACTAGAGAGTAAGCCCTGGAGGGGACCTGGTTGTATCATATATTTCTGGCTGCATGTGCCAATAGATAAAACAGTAAACCACGAAACACAGTACAGCTAGAGGGCAGGAGGCAGCTGGTATGGATGCTGGGAAGCTGCTGATGAGGATGGAAAAAATAACATCATTTTGGAGTCCCTTTAAAGTGCCCTTACCCACATATGCTGAAGTCTTTAGCATAGTAAAATGTACCTGAATATTTGTCATGTAGGTCCATATTCAAATCTTGGCTCTGTCAATGGCCTCTGTGGGCCTCTGTGGGATCTCAGGAAATTTCTCAGCACCCTAAGACCTGTTTTCTTAATCTTTAAAATATAAATAAAATTATTTTATTGGACAATGGAACTTATAAGGTAATAGTTATCAGGTTTAAATGAAGTATCTGGCATATCCATACAACTAAAAACTTTTTTTTTTTTGCATTCTTATTTAATTTCATCACCAACTTAACTTTAGGTCCATGTTATTACTTCTCTCCAATTTAGAAATGAGGAAACTGAATCTCAGGGTAAAGTGTGGATTTATTCAAAGCCATAACACACTGGGCCTCGGATCTTCTAGTCTGTAATGTAGGTATTTGGATTAGAATAATTTCTAAAGGCTTTTCAGTCTCTGAAAGGTTATAAAAAAGAGTCACCAGCCTCCGGCCAGATTTATAAAACTAAGTTCCCCTTGGCATCAGACCCTTTGAAATTCCCAGTGCTTATCTAATGCAGGATCTCAATTTCAGATTCATTAGCTGGATTTGAACTGACAAGTGTAAAATTTCCAACTATGTGCATATATCATAATGGGGGGCGTGGGGAGAAGAGAGACATATATACTACTATTTGTAATACTTAAAACAATAAAATAATTTTTAAAAAAAAAAGTAAATGAAGCTTAAGGGAAAGAGAGGGACAAATGTGACCACAACAGGTGACATAGGTAGATTTCAAGGAAGGAGCTCACAGATCCTTGAAGAAGCACCAAACCACAGATTAGTAAACCTGTCAGCAACCACACAACCTGGCACCTGCCTCCCCCAGGTGGATAGAAACCTGTCCTCGCCCAGCAACAGCCCTCAGAGTCCTTAGTGATCTGGGCAGCAGCAACCACAGACTGTGAGCCAGGCCCTGTGATTGGCCAGACTCCTGGGCTCCAATCCCTAGTCCCTCTCCGCTCTGCTTCCCTGCCTCCACAGGGTTACAGGGAGTGTGCCAACCCAGCACCCCTGAGCTGCCTGTATGGGGAAAGACAGCTTAAAAGGTAAGGATGTCCCCTCTGTTCTCTCCTGGTAAAGGGCTTAGGACTCGCAGATACTGGGAAGAGAGGAGACCCCACAACCATAAATGTTGACCCTTAAAAGGTTGCAGTTCCCGCTAGAGGGGACTTCCCTTACAGAGCGGTCCTAATGCTGACCACACACCAAGGGAAGCTGGGGCCTTGGGAAGAGCAATGGAAATAGATAGGTTCTCATTCTCTGTGAAACCTTGGTCAAATAACACACCCTCTCTGGGCCTCGGATTTTCTAGTCTGTAATGTAGGTATTTGGATTAGAATAATTTCTAAAGGCTTTTCAGTTTCTGAAAGGTTCTAAAAGAGAGTCGTCAGCCTCCGGCCAGATTTACAAAACTAAGTTCCCCTTGGCATCAGACCCTTTGAAACTCCCAGTGCTTATCTAATGCAGGATCTCAATTTCAGATTTATTAGCTTATTGCAAAGGCAGAATAGCCATAGAAACAAACAAAGAAAGAAAAGCACCCTCTTTCCTATGATTGGTGCTACTTCAAGTAAGTTATCTCATTGGATTCACCCCAAGTCCCTAGAATATAACTGGAATTATCCAAGTTCATAAAAGGGGAAACATCATGATAGCTGGTTATAAGATTGTATGTCCCACTAAGGTCCTGGTTACCACTCTAACCTCACAAGAATGCTATCTGGTGGTATCAGGAAGGAAGGTAAAGTCACCAAATGGCTCAGCAGACCAATTATGCAGACCTTTTAGGTGGCAGTCCCAAATCTGTTAATGACTATCTATGTGATATTGAGTTAGTTACAATAACTATATTATGCCTGTTCCCTTAACTGCAAAACGACAATGATAATAGTAATTAAGAGTATTTTACTCCTGTCTTCCTTGGGAGTGTTTAGTGAGACAATATAGTTAAAGCACTCAATCCACCATTTTGATTGTTATTATTGGCAAGGATGTTATAGTTGCCAACTGGAAAGTCAAGAGGAGAGACTTACTGATTTTCTACCCCCAGGGGTTTGAGGGGTTTTGGGAAGAATCATGTCTTCTGTGTGGAAGACCCCCCGTGCATCAGATGCAATGCCTGAGACTGTGGTGAAAATCATCGGAAGTAAACACTTTCGGTTCCTTGTGGAGAAGCCGACGATGTAAGTTTATTGTTTGAAAAATATCTGTTTTGCCTAGATCATAATAAAATTTGGGTGTGTTTTTAATCTAGAAATTTACATTTTAACAATGCCATTCATGGAAAATGAAGTCATTAAGCAGTAACAGTAGAAGTAAAATAGCATTGAAAACTTCTATGAGCACTGTTTTCCTGATATTTTTCATCTTTATAATTCCCCATATTCCTTAATTACTTGGGATGATTTTCCAAATAGATGGGGAATAGAAGCAGTGAGACATTTATAAATATTAATGGAGTATTGCTGCTTCTCTTCATCAAGTTTATAATCTACCACATGTAGTAATTTGGGGGGGAGGGGTGGTAAGAGAGAAAGTCATTAGTCAATTTGCTATGAATTAAAGGAGTGGAATTAAAAATAAATTATAAATTGTAAAATTTTCATTTCTTCTTCTTATCTGATACTCCAAGCAGGGGCTTCTCAGAGCATAACTAAGAGGTCTTTCTTTCCTTCCAAGGTCACCACAACCACGTTTAAGGGAGCACACTCCTATATCTCTAAAATTAACTACACGTATGGCACAGAACAGTGTGACCAGCTCTTCCTTCCAGAGTTGTGGTCAGAAGAAGGTACTAGCCTAAACCGGTTTGGCTCAGTAGTAGACCGTCGGTCTGTGGACTGAAAGGTCCCAGGTTCGATTCCGGTCAAGGGCATGTACCTGAGTTGCGGGCACATCCCCAGTGGGGGGTGTGCAGGAGGCAGCTGGTTGATGTTTCTCTCTCATCAACGTTTCTAGCTCTCTATCTCTCTCTCTTCCTCTCTGTAAAAAATCAATAAAATATATATTTTTTAAAAAGAATAAGGTACTAGACCTGCCTTTCATCTTATAGTCATTTCATAAACAGTATCTAGTCAATCCTTGCCTTTCCTTCCTAAGATGATTTCCACAGTCCTTTTCTCTATTTCAGAACCCAACAGACCAAACAAACAAACAGAAAAAAATATCTGGCCTTACAAAACATAGGTGCAGAAAGCAATGGCTACAAAATCTGGCTATCATCAGAATCATCAGAGTGTCCCTTAAACTAAATATTTGGGGTCCAATTCAAGATTTAAATAATCAGAGTCTCTGAAGATGGACTCCTGTTATGGGGTGTAGGTTTTAGAAGCAAGTCTCAGATCCTCTGCTATAGAGTATAGGCTTCAGAAGTGACCGTCAGGACTACTGTTATGTGTTATCCTCCTATTTAATAAAAGAGTAATATGCAAATTGACCATCACTCCAACACACAACATAGCTGCCCCCATGTGGTCAAAGATGGCCACACCCATGTTGACACAAGATGGCCACCACAAGATGGCTGGCAGTGGAGGGCAGTTGGGAGGGACCAGGCCAGCAAGGGTGAGCAGTTGGGTCAACCAGGCTGGCAGGGGAGGGCAGTCAGGGGAGACCAGACTGGCAAGGGAGGGTGTTTACCAGGCCAGCAGGGGAGGGCAGTTAGGGTCAATTAGGCTGGCAGGGGAGTGGTTAGCCTAACCATTAGGGGTTGTCAAGATGGCAGGCAGAAGCAATTGGACATCTCTAGAGTAGTCCCAGATTGGAGAGGGTACAGGCTAGGCTGAGGGACACATACCCCCTGCCCCATGCATGAATTTTGTGCACAGGGCCTTAGTAAGCTTTAGAAGGAACCAACCATCAAGACCACTGCTATGGAGTATAGGCTTCAGAAGGGACCATCAGGACCACTGCTATAGAGAATAGGCTTCAGAAGGGCAAAATGGTTTTACCTTGCCTCCATCATATTGTCACCCCAAGAGGTTCCAAAGAAAGTGCTATGATCAGTAATGTTTGCCAAAGCACTGGAAGAGGGTTTTGTAGCACATTAGTTGGGATCCCTTCAGAGCTTAGAGATGAGAGTGAATCTTGGCTCTTTGCCTTCCTGACCTTTGGACATTGAAAAAATTAATATCTCAGCTTCAGATTGTGGAGGAAAAACACATCTTTCTAGAAGGGTTGTTGTGAGGAGCCAATGTGAAAAATATGCAAAACATCTTTCCATGACCTAACAGTATATTCAATATGCTTATAAATTGTTCTGCTATTATTATTGAAGCAAATTTTTCCATGGATACAAATCTCTTTCTATGAAATGTTTCCATCCTTTTGGTACTCTATGCAAAAGTTTTGTACAAACTTTGTTTGTAGGTGAGGAAACCTGAGACACTGTGATTATTGTAAGATCTCCTATCAAATGCCAGTTATTGTAAAGAAAAGTAAATAGGATCAGTTTGCACTCTCTGCTGAGTTCTGCTACCCAGAAAGCAACATTACTGCTCTACTAATTCCCCTCCTCTCTAAGTTGTTAGTTTAATTTCTTTTATCCCAACCCCTTCTTGTTTTCCAGGAGTCTAATATGTTCCTAAATGGGTGATAGGGGAAGGATACTTATCTTTTTAGATAATTCCCTTTGTCTTATAAGAAGGTGCTTTTTATTTTTCCTGTTTGTTGTTTTATTTTTATTAATCCTCACCTGAGGATATTTTTTCCATTGCATTTCAGAGAGAGTGGAAGGGAGAGAGGGAGGGAGAGGAGGGGTAGAGAAAGAGAGAGCAAAAGCAAGAACAAATAAGAGAGAGAAAGAGAGAGAGAGAGAGAGAAAGAGAGAGAGAGAGAGAGAGAGAGAGAGAGAGAGAGAGAGAGAGAGAGAGAGAGAGAGAGAGAGAGAGAGAGAGAGAGAGAGAGAGAGAGAGAGAGAGAGAGAGAGAGAGAGAAGCCAATGTGAGAGAGACACAGGAACTGGTTGTCTCCTGCACTCGCCTGACTGGAGTGGAGAGTGAACTTGCAACCCAGGCACATACCCCTGACCAGAATCAAACTCAGGATCCTATGGTGCCTAGGCTGATGCTTTAACCATTGAGCTTACTGTCCAGGGCTTCCCTGTTTATTCTTTAAACTCAGAATCCAGGAAATAAAAAAAGTACATTAAATCAGCTATATTAATCCTATATAATGAGAGGGGAATATGCTAATTAGCCATTATACCATGAGGCATAACAACTGACCAAGTAACAACCAGATCACAGACCACTCCTCGGATGTCGGCTGCCCAGGGCCAGCCCAAGGTACAGGCCAGCCTTAGATGTCAGCTGCCCAGCTGCCCAGGGCCAGCCCAAGGTGCAGGCAAGGGAACTATAATACAAGTGGGCGGGTGGTGGAGAACTCAAGGAGGGAGCAGGGCAGCAAGCTATGGGTGGGGGGGGTGGTAGGGGGGCTACAGAAGGGTGGGGTAGCAGGTGGAGAGCTACAGGAGGGCAGCAGAGAGCTACTAGCACGTTGATTTGTGCACAGGGCTACTGGTTGTAAAATAAAAGACATGGTTCTGTTTTTTCTATGACAACTGTTTTTTATATTAAGGCTGTTATTTTTGCTTTCTATGGGCTTGATATTACTGTTGCTTGATTGACTTAACACAAGGCTTTGCTAAGGTATTCCAGTTTTGTTAAAAAATAAATAATTCTCACCAAAACTGGTTTGGCTCAGTGGATAGAGTGTCGGCCTACGGACTGAAAGGTCCCAGGTTCAATTCCGGTCAAGAGCATGTACCTTGGTTGCGGGCACATCCTCAGTAGGAGGGTGTGCAGGAGGCAGCTGATCGATGATTCTCTCTCATTGATATTTCTAACTCTCTATCCCTCTCTCTTCCTCTCTGTAAAAAAATCAATAAAATATTTTAAGAATTATTCCATATAAATAAATAAATAAATAAATAAATAAATAAATAAATAAATCTCAAAAGCCTTCTTATTGTTGATGTAAAGTCAGACTCATTGCAATCATTTCATGCATGTCCCACAATCTGTCCTCAAAGCATTTAGTCATACTACTACATCTACACCTTTTAGTAGGGGGTCCAAGAAGGTGTTTTCTTTGGATTTAATCAGTTGAGCCTACTAGTATTAGTAAAAACCCGACATAAGAAGCATAAGTAGAAAACAACAAAAGAAAGAAGACTCTAAAAGGAAAATCTGAATTTAAAAGAAAAATCACAAATGAATAATGGATGGAAAAACAGAAGTCTTTCTGTTTAACCACATTTAGTTCAGATTTCCTATAGGATATGTGGAGAAGATTAAATAGTATGTTACATCTAAAAGTTATCTTAAATATATACTAGTTAATCAGTATAATTTGGTTGGGCTTCTATATCATAGTACCACAAACTGAGTGGCTTAGACCAACAGAAATTTATTGTCTTACAATTCTGGAGGCTAAAATCTGAAATCAAAGCATTGGTAGATCCATGCTCCCTCTGAAGGTGCCCAATAAGGATCTTTCTTTTCCAGATCTCTCAACATTCTTTAATCCACAGTTAGTAAACACATAGGTAATGGAATGTTTGGATACCTTGGCAGGAAAGTGAGCTAAAACGAGAGGAAATCAACAGAGATATATGCAAAGATATATTGTCTTTAGTTAAGGATATGTGTAAATGATTATATATAAAATACTTGGGTTTTACATGATTTGAAATCATGGTTGTTACGTATATTTCTGACAGATGGGCTATAAGTCAGGGTTCCCCTAACTCCCTCTTCCAGTTTGATTAATTCCTCAGACTGGCTCCACCAGCTCAAGAAAACTATTTACCCTTTAGGTCATTGGTTTATTTTAGAAGAATATAACTCAGGGACAATCAGGTGGGAGAGATGCACAAAGTGTGTGGGGAGGGGCATGGAACTCCCATTGCCTCTTCAGGCCTACTATCCTCTCAGCACATAGCATTCCGCATCCCAGAGGCTCTCTGAACCTTATTCTTTTGTTGTTGTTTTTAAGTTAAGGCTTTATCTCATAGATAAACATATATTGATTTCTGCTCCCAGGTCCTGGCATAAAACTCCTAAAATCCTTGCAATTTTCTAAGAGACATCAGTACTAGGAACATTTTTTGTTGTTGTTGTTCTAATATTTGGTCTTTAACCCTGTTTCCTTATGCAGAGTTCCTAAATCCCTTGAAATTTTC